GGGAGTCCGAGACCAGCCTGGTCTACAAGAGCTAGTTCCAGGACAGCCTCCAAAGCCACAGAGAAACCCTGTCTCAGAAAACAAAAAGAAAGAAAGAAAGAAAGAAAGAAAGAAAGAAAGAAAGAAAGAAAGAAAACCGTGAACTGTGGATGGGGCAGAGTGGAGAATGTTTGTCCCACGAGGTGGCCTTCTGTAAAGAATTGTGTAAACTATGAAAGCTGAATGCACTTGAAAGCAAAGACATGATGGGAGCACCTGGCAAGTCCACATTATCTCTGTAGAAAGAACATTCTTTTGTTGTTGTTGTTGTTTGGTTTGGTTGTTTTTTGAGACAGGGTTTCTTTGTGCAAAGTCGTGGCTGTCCTGGAACTCACTCAGCAGACCAGGCTGGCCTCAAACTCACAGAGATCCACCTGCCTCTGCCTCTCAAGTGTTGGGTTTAAAGGCGTGTGCCACCACCACGGGGCAAGCAAGAACATTCTGTGCTCTGCCACATGCACAGTTTACAATAAGTTCACAATTTTCTTACACAGTCTTCCACAGAGCATGTGAACCTGTGTGGGCCTGTATGTGAGTATATGAATCTATGTGAAACTGAGCATTATAGCTTGTGAGTGTGTAAGAATGAGCCTTGTGAGTATGCGGGAATGGGTATATATCTGAGCGTCAGTGAAAGGCCTGCTTCCTGTTTTTGTGGGCCCTGTGACTGGGGTTGTCATGATGACCAATCAGTGTTGACATTGGTAGATGCAATCTGAGATTGTTGAATAGCTATGTTTATCATATGACAGTGTCTGTCAAGGGAAGCTCAGCTATGCTGCTCATTTATTTCTGTACCATTTAGGAGGCCTAAAGCCACCTCTGATCCAGGTCCCACTACTGTGACTCTGACCAACTTCAGAGCACATTAATCTCTCAGCTAAGGTGTGTGGTTGTGACATTGCTGCTGCTGTGGCCCTGGCATGAGCTCCTGGCTAAGTGGGCAGCTGAAGGTGTCATCTGAGGCTGCGGCCCTGTTGTTGCCCCTGATCAAGTGTGGGCTGTATGCCTGGGCTGTGTTGAATGGCTCACAGGGGGAGCTGTTGGTGTAGTTTTTTATTATCCTCTCTATTGAGTGGGGGTTCGCAATCCAGCACCCGGAGATGCCCCTCGCCCATGCTGGCTAGTGATTAAACATCTGGCTTTGTTCCCACAGGGGTTTGGATGTGAGGAGTTTCCCTATGAGCCCTTGCAGGGTATGCCAAGTTGTCTCCAGTATGAATCCTTGTCAGTGGTCTGAGGGCCATGATCCGGCTGTGTGTTTTCTATTTAAGATTCTGAGTTGGCTGGTGTGTACGCCTGGAGAAAAGGACAAGCCCTGGTGAGGCGGTTGCTTGGGCCCCCTCCTGCCCTCTCCTGGCTCCAGAGCAAGGCCCCTGCCACGGACTTAGGTACCTCATGCCTCAGCCTTAGCCTGGTGTGTTTTGCTGTGGCATTAGTGGGTGGGCACGGAGGAAATACATGTGCTGCCCGGGCAGGTGGTAGCTGGGCAGCCTCTCGAGATTTCCCTTAGAGATGGAAATTTGGGAATAGTTACCTTTACAAGCCTGAAGAGAGAGGCTCTCCTCAGCTTTGGAAGCAGAAGTATTACTTGGGCTTTTGTGAAGAGAGCAGATGGGAATGGCCACTCTCATGGGGGCCGCTTGCTGCCCCTCCGTGTGCACCCCGTCAACACATGTGGAGCTGGTGACTCACTCAAAAGCAGCACTTGTCCCTCCTTTGTGCTGATCATGAGGGCTGAGGCTCAGAGGGAGTTTGTGAGGCCAAGGCCAGGGCCTCCCTGGTCACCCCATGATTCCCCCTGAATGGAGGGGCAGGTCTGTTCTTTCCTACAGCCCACAGACCCCAACACTACTTCATTGCCTGTCTTTGCAGGCTCTGACAAGAAAGCAGCAATTGTTGGGGACTCACCTGCCCACACCTGGCTGTCTAAGCCTACTTGTACCCACAGTGACCACCAGGTTTCTGACCATACGCCCAGCTTAGCTTTCCATGGTCAGTCAGCAAGTATCCAAGGTGCCATGGAGATCCTACAAAACCTGCGCCACCAAATCCAGGCTGGTCTGGAGCTTGCCAGGCACTCCAGGGTGGCAAGGAAGTTCTCATCATCAAAACCAAGGCAACAGAACCTGGCAGGGAAGAGGCAGCAGGGACCCCAAAGCACCTGGGACATGCAGGGCTCCTTCTCAAAGAGTGCTTGGACTGCGACAGAAAGAAAGTGCTCTTCCTTGGATAGGGCTGGAAACTTGCACAGTCAGAAACACTGGAAGAAAGCCATGGCTGAGCGGGAGTCTTGTCCACAGAGGGCCTGGACAGCACAGGGGAAGGACACCTTCTTCCAGAGGCCTGGAAGCACCCCAGAAAAGTCAAGCCCCTTCTCACAGCGGCCCTGGAGTGCCATGGGTTGGCAGACCTGTCCCCAGAGGGCTTGGGAAGCTCAGGGACATGACACCTCCTTCCAGAGGTCTGAGAGCCCCCCTAAAAAGCCAAGCCCCTTCTCACAGCGACCCTGGAGTGCTCTGGCTGGTCAGGCTTGTTCACAGTGGAATTCCACAGCTTGTAAAGACTGGGAGGTTCCTGGGTCCAGTCCATGGAGCTCTTCCGTGGCTAAGCCACATCCTGCTCTCCATCAGCCCTGGAGTAGTTCTTGTGTGCAGAAGTCCAGTCCCTACAGCAAGGGCAAAAGTGCTGTCCCTCCTCCCTCAAAAGCCAAGCCAGCTTGGCTAGAGCCTGCCCAGGCCTTCTCTCAGAGCAAACTAGCAAAGGAGCAGGACACACAGGGGACTCCACCCTGTCCAAGGCCACGGCAATCTCTGGGCCGGGCACACAAATCTGAGTCCTTGCGTGACTTCATGCGTCAGAAGGCTCAGGCCCGGCGGAAGCAGGCCATGGAGCAGAAGGCTTTGGCCACACATGCACTGGAACTGCGGAACCAGAGGCTGCAGGAGGTATACCGGAAGCAGCGAGAGGCCGTCCTTGGCAAGGCCGTTCCTGTGGTCTCCCAGAGGAGACCTGGCATCGTCACCTTTGTTCCCAGTTCCATACAGTCTTGGGTATGTGCTGGGTGGGTGACAAGAAGGGGATTGGTCAAGCCTTTGAGCCTGTGGTTCTTTGCTACCCCTGCCTGCCTACTGCCCATCAACACGTGGGTGGTTGGGTGCCACTGGGCCCGGGGGATGAGATGGCATTGGCTCTGGGCAGCTTGCAGGCATTTACTTGGGACAGAGACCATGCCAGAGAGAAGAGGCTAGACGTGGGGCACTTTTGTCCCTGACTGGGGTGGTGGCAATGTTGGGGAATGTTCCTAGCTGAACTTGGTTTCTGTGTAGTTGTTTGGGGGAGTTCCTGCACACTGTGTCCATAGGTAGACAAGGCTAGAGGGACCTATTTGCCTCTTCACCCCTAATTCTTTAAAAATGCTCTGCGAGTCTAGGCTGAAGCCCCAGGCAGGGGCTAGAACCCAACACTGAACTGAATGGAGGTTGTGGGTCTCATGTGTCCTCTCTGCTTTAGGGCCTGGAAGCCCCTGAGAGTCTGAGGCCACCAGAGCGGAAGTGGAGCAAGGTGACATCTGGCACGGTGCTTGGGGACCAAGAGGCTCCAGACAGGTGGGTGAGGAGGGCAACGTTGCTCTTCCTGAGCAACTTGGAGTAGAGGAGGGGAGGATGAACTCTGGTGGTTCTCTGCCCATTGCTCATAACAATGTGGCTCCTTGGGTTCTTTCCTTCTCCTGGCCCTGGCAACCCCAGAGCTTTACAGATCAGAAACACTGCTGTGTTTTGCTGAGGTGAGACAGTCACTGTGAATAGAAACAACCCAATTGTGTATATGTGTGTGCACGCATGAAAATGTACTTTGTGTGTATATGTGTGTGCATGCATGAAAATGTACTTTGTGTGTATATGTGTGTGCACGCATGAAAAATGTACTTTGTGTGTATGCAGTTTCACATGGTGATGTGTATTGGTGTGTGTGTAGGCCAGAGGGTGACCTCAGATATTGGTTCTCAGGAGATATCCACCTTGGGTATTTGAGACAGGGTGTCTTCCTGGGACCTGTGTCTTGCTGTTTAGAGTAGGCTGGCTAGCCAATGAGCTCCAAGAATTCTCCTGCCTCTGCTCTCTTAACATTGGGACTATAAATATACACCACCACATCTAGGTTTTTTAAAATGTGGATTCTGGAGATTAAATCCATGCTTATATGACAGGCATGTTACTGACTCAGCTCTCTATAGAACAACCTTTTTGTTTGTTTGTTTGTTTGTGTTTTTTGTTTTTCAAGACAGGATTTCTCTGTGTAACAGTCCTAGGTGTCCTAGAACTCACTTTGTAGACCCAGCTGGCCTTGAACTCACAGAGATATGCCTGCCTCTGCCTCCCAAGAGCTGGAGCCCTTTTTTTCTCTTCCATTTATGTATTTATGTATTTATGTATTTATTTATTTATTTATTTATATGCCTACATGTATGCCTGTGTAAGGATGTTGGATCCTGGAACTGGAGTTACTGACAGTTGTGAGCTGCCATGTGGTTGCTGGGATGTGAACCCAGGTCCTTTGGAAGAACCACCAGAGCTCTTAACCACTGAGCCATCTCTCCAGCTCACCTTTTTTTAAAAATTGTATTTTCTTTGGTTTTGTTGTTGTTGTTGTTGTTGTTGTTGTTGTTTTGTGTTGGGGTTTTTGTTTGTTTTCTTATGTAGCCATGGTTGTCATGAACTTGTTCTGTAGACCAGGCTGGCCTCGAACTCACAGAGATCTGCCTTCTACCTCCCAAGTGCTGGGATTAAAGGCGTGTGCCACCACTTCCCAGAACAAGCTATTTTTAATACATAGATTTATTTAGTTGTTATTGTGTGTATGGAGGTGGGACACATGCCATACAGCATGCCTGTGGAGGTCAGAGGGCACCTTGGTAGAGGTGGCTCACTCCTGTCACATTCACATGGCTACCAAGGATTGAACTCGGGTTGCCAGGGTTATGTGGCAAGAGCCCTTTATCCACCGAGACAGTCTGCCTGCTCCCAACCTGTTTTTAAATGCACAGGATGGGAGCATGATGATGCTCAAATGTCCCCTCTCTGCCTCCAGCATCCCTATAGGAGATCCACACTGTAAGCTGCAACCCCAGCCCTAACCCCACACCACACCCAGTCCTTAGAAGGCAGCTTCTGACACTTCTGTCAATGGTGTCCCAAGATACAGTCTGATTTCTCGCACTGAGTGTCCTTCCTTCGGGCTCCCTGTTGGGAAGCTGAAGACAAGGCAGCGGCTTCTTCTTCTTCTTCTTCTTCTTCTTCTTCTTCTTCTTCTTCTTGTAGCTTGCCAATGCACCAGGGTCTCTTCACATTTCCTTTATTTGTTGCTTGTGGACGCGGGCTGTTCTCATTTCGACTACTCAAAATGACACTCCTGGGATCACAGGTGTACACGCACTTGTTTGAACACCTGCCTTTATGTCTCCTGATGATATCCCGGTGGTTTGTGCCATACAACAGTTCAGAATGGCATAATCCTAAATGCTGACATCCACAAAGGAAAACATTGAAAATTACTGCCATGAATGATTTAAATCCTAGAAACACAAAACAATTAAATTCTTTAAGAGATATATTGAGATTTCAAAGGGAGATTTACTTGAGAGACATAAACATATAGCAGAAGAGGCCACTTTATGCATTAAAACAGACAAGTGGAACATAGGCTCTTATGTCAGTATTGCTCAGGGTTCCTCATGCATGGCAGCTACAAGCAGACAGACCACACTTGGCAGGAGACGGCGCTGTCTCGGTGGTTGGGCACCCAGCTTCCTCTCCTTGTCATCTGAATAAAGGATAATCTCTCCTCTGAGGAGAGATTCCACCTAAAGAGTGGGTACCAAGGTTTAATCTTTCAGCAAATCAGGACATCTCGCAGGCCAAGGGGACTTCAGTGTTACCCAAAGTCAGTGTTTGAGAGTGCTCTTTCCTGAGCCACACTGGCAAGAAGTTCCAAGAAATGATTGATTAGAACCCCCTAGAAGTCTTTACGCCATTTACTCTTCCAGCCCTGTGAGGATGTGAATGAAGTTAAAATGCAAATGAAAGACAACACTGACAAGTCAAATTGGGAAATGAACCAAAACATAAAATAAAGCAAAATGCAAAGGGACAAAGAGGCCACGGGGTGGACTATGGGTGGCGTACACAAGCCATCTCTGGAGATGATACCATCCTGTCCTTGGACTGTGTTTGGAAGTCTGGAGTCATGGTGGGAAGCTGCTGTTTTTCTGTTAGGGCCTCACTTCTTGGGGAACATTGCTCCCATCCATGTCCTCTGAGGGACTCCCCACCTGGCCCACTGGGGATCAAGTACTGGTCTTTGGAGAACCCTTTGCAGGCACAAATATGCCCAAGGATTCTAGGCATTCTTCCTTCAAGATGCAGCAGCCAAGGTCATGCAGAGAGCAGATGTATCCCAGTGATGATGCCCGCCTTGCCACCCTCTCATGCAGGCTTTACCCTTTTAAATTGAGGTTTTTCAGGACATGAACATCCAGGGTTTTGGTTTCAACATTCAGAATTTTAATATTTCAGGATCAGGATTTTAGACTTGGAGGAATTTACTCTTTCAAGATTTCAACATTTGGGATTTTGATTGGCACCAAGTACCTGGGAGAGGACTTCACCTAGATGTCTAGCTCCTGATCCATTACTCTTGTCCCAGGTGACCCACATGCTGCCATCACAGCAGGCTGGGAACACCTGGCCCAGAGGCCAACTCCAGAGGTGGGGTTTGTGTGTACACTGTGTTTCTCTTTGGAGTTCTCTGAGGAACTTGCAAGCTGTTTGCCACAGTGGCGTCAGTGCCTTCCACATGCCCTTCTTTCCTTCCTTCTTGCCTCCCTCCTGTTCTCCCATTACCTTCCCTCAACACCCAAACAGGACAGCTCTTTCCCTCCTCCACCTCTGGTTCTTGCCAGACGCTCTCCGGCCTGGCTTCATTCTGGCCATCTGCTAAGGTATCCATGGCCAGATGCTAAGGTACTCCTCATGGCCAGTACAGGAAGGTGAGAAGGAGGAGCCACAAGGGATTGGCAGCTCCCCTCAGGAGGTTGCTTCCAGAAATGCCCTTGCTCTAGGCTTCCTAGGGTCATTGGTGGGCATTTTTTTTTCATTAGTATTGGGAGGAACTTTGAGCTGATCTCCTTGGTTCCTGCTCCTACCCCTCTATATATACTTTTGGCCAGATGAGATGGACACTCTCCTCCTTATGACTCCTCTCTCCGACTCCCTCCTTTCTTCTGCCTAGTCTTTCCCTAGCTGTCTCCTGACATATCAAGTCTGAAGGGTGGCTTAGATGCCTGTGTCTGTGAACTTCTAAAGCAGCCTCTAGTTCCAAACAGAGGAGTACTCGGGTCTAACCTGTCACCATACCCATGGGTAGCCTTCAGCAGCCTGCATGGCTCCTTCAGCTTCCTTCAGTGGTAGAGGGGGTGTCCCCATCACTGTGGGAAGCTGTAGACTTGTTTCCCTTTACTGCATCCTGGCCCTTTTTTTATTCCCACTTTTAAAAACTATGCTAAAATACACATGGCATAACATTTACAATGATAACCATTTTTTAAATTCTCAATCCATCTGGATTTTGTTTTAAGTTTATGCTTAACTGATACATAAAAACATAAAAATTGTACATATGGGTGGATGGGGTACATGTGGTGTTTTGATACACACATTGCATGATATTTAAATTAGGTTAAATGCATCCATCTCCAAGCATTTATCATTTCTGGATGATAAAACATATTCAACATCCTTTCTTCCAAGATTTTTTTTTTGGTGTTTTACAGTATGCTATTATTAAGGGCAGTTAGAATAACTTCAACTATAGCCCAATTGATCGGCTTCTTCCCACTGGTGTCTCTTCTTGTCTTCTATGTTGGGAATGGAACCCAGAGCTTCACACCTGTTGGGCAAACCCTCTACCACTGAGCTATACCCCAGATTTTGTTTATTTATTTATTTATTTATTTATTTATTTATTTATTTATTTTAGAGTCTTACTATGCCCTGGTTGGCATCAAACTCACAAAGATCCACCTGCCTCTGTCTCCTGAGTGCTGGGATTACAGGCATTTACCCCCTTCCAGCCTTTAAAAAAAATCAAAACAGCCTTTTATTTTGAGACAGGGTCTCATCAAGTTGCCTGGCTGGTATTAAACTTTGTTCTTCCTGCCTCAGCCTCCTAAGAAACTGTTTTTTTTTTTTTCAGGCCTGTGCCACCACCTAACTTCTTTTTTGTTTGTTTTGATTAGCTTTTTTTTCAAAAAAAATTGTTATTTGTTTGGAGACAGCATCTCACTATGTAATCTGGCTGGCCTAGAACTCACAGAAATAATCCTGGCTCTGCTTCCCACATACTAGGAGGGACTAAAGGCATGCAACGTCACACCAACATTTGCTCTGTTTTTCAGGTGAGGTTCTCACTATGTAGTTTTAGATTCACAGTCCTCCTCCTTCCGTCTCTAGTGCTGAGGTTACAGACATACACCTCCACGCCTGACTTAGCGGTTTTTAGTCGCACAGCCAGTGGCATCCATTGGTATTACTGTGCAGTCATCACCACCATCTGTCCTCAGAACCTTCTCCTGTTCCCCAGTAGATCCTCTGTCCCCATTGACACCAACCTAGAAGCCCCTGCCAGTCAGTCCCTGGCATCACCTGTCTCTCTAGATCTGATGGCCTAGGTGAACTCAGACATGGGGAATCCTGTCAGACTTGTCCTTTCATGACCCGTGTCACCTAGCTTGATGTCTCTGAGGTTCATTCCTGGTGTAGAGCAGGGACCATTCTCTCTTCTTGCTTAAAGTCAAGAAACAACCCATTGTGTGGATGGGCCTCATGTTGCTGGTCCATTATCTGTTCATGGACCTCACTTATTTGTTTGTTGTTTTGCCTTATCTGTTGGGAGCATTGCTGCAGTGAACACGGTACACAGACTTCTGTTCACACCGTGGTTTTTGGTACTTCTGGTAAAACCCCTTGCTGGTGATTGTGTTAATTTGGTGTTTGATATGTGAAGATTCACCAAACTGTTTCCCAGGGACTGCAGCATCTGACATTCCTGCCATCATGTCTGTACCTCACCCACACTTGGTCCTCATTCTATTGAGCCACGTGTGGTCTGATACGAGATGTCCTGGCCTTGGCCTCTGGTCTGCGGTGAGCCCTGACTCTCACAAATATCCTCATTGTCTCTCCTTGCTTCCCTCAAGTGTGTTTTGCACACACCATGTTGCTGAGGCTGAGTGTCCAACCACTCTTCTCTCCCTGCAGCTTTTGTCTGTGTTTGAACAAACCATGGAACCGTGCTGAGACCCGGGACACTGGACGCCCCCGGGACGGCGTGAGTGGTGCCCCTCTGCTACCGTCTACTGCTTCCTCCCCTGACCCCAAAAAGCTCCAGGACATGTCTGGGCGGCAATGTGTCTACATGGACCCCAAGGACACTGAGCATCTGGGCCCATCGGGCCTCCTGCACTTCCAGTACAAGCAAGCCCGGCTGCAGGCACTGGAGACCATGGCCAAGGTCCTCAAGCAGCGTATTGACATCCTAACCACCAAGCTGCACAAGTCGACGTCATCGGACACAGCTGGTGACCTGGCCTCGGACATGCTGTCCTTGAGCCCCAGCACAGCGCCTGTCACCCCCACTTTCACTCCTCCCTCTTACCCCAGAAGTTTAGTGTCTGATGAAAGCAGAGAAACTTCCCAGGACTGGGTGGACATGCAGGCCAAGCCCCTTCCCCCCAGCACCTACTTCCAGGATGGTGAGATGCTATCATGGAGACCCAACTGGGAGCCACAGAGCTTGAACCTGGGGACCCACATTGAGAGCCAGCCCCAAGGTGGGGCTGGGTAGTGGGTGTCATGCCTGCTGGGTATCCTTGGGCTGGGAGCAACAGGGCCCCATTCCTTTTCCTGTCTGGAGAGCAGGATGGGAGTTGCCCAGACAATGAGAGTAGTGACAATAGCTGATGCTCCCTGAGTGATATATAGCACAGGCCATAGTTGTCTCATCCCATGTTGGGGGAGGGGTGAGGTTCTTCCCAAAGCCTGCTGCCTACCTGCCCTACCTTCCCAAGGGGCAAGAAGGCCAGCAAGGCCTCCGTGCTCTGTGGGTCTCATACCCAGTGCCCCTGCCTCAGTGTCTCACTCTCAACTTTGCCCTGCTGGCTTATCAAGTAATGGTGCCCTTTCCAAAGGTGCCATAGAGGATAGACACCGAGAGCTGAAGAAGAAGCTGCAGAGAGAGATGGCTACCCTCCAGGACCTCGGTGCCTGCATGAGGAGGTGAGTCTAGTTTGTTTTGCTGTGGCCATTAAGTCTGCCTCTCACATCCTGTGGAGTGACCAACCAGCAGTCAATAGGGTCAAGGTCTCTTTATTTGGATACAACAGCCAAGCGCAGGCCAAAGCGAGGAGGAGGGAGCTGGGACCAGGGCCAGAAGGAGAAGGGATCATCCATGTGTCGGAGGTCCCTTAAGAAGCCTTCCTGATGTCACCTTAGACTTCCCCTCACCCCGCTCTCACAGGGTGGGCGTGTTCCGGCACACCTGTCCGGGGTTACCTGGGGGCGGAGCTACAGTGTCTCTCCCTACACATCCCCTATGGAGGGTCCTTGTGTTAGCCCAGGGCCCACATCCAGGAGTCTGGGTGCATGAGGCCAGGTGGAGAGTAACACTGGTTCACCTCACACATCTTGTTTACCTCTGACCTCAGTTGCTCATTGGTCAGGAAGACATACTCACCAGTAGACATTCCTTTGTGCTGGCCCATAGTCCGTGGGAGATGCTTGTCTTAGCTTTTCCTTATTGATTGCTAGCAGGCTGACTATCTGAGGATGTTGACATGGTTTATCAACCTGTCTGGGTTCACTGTCCCAGGACCTCTCAGGATGTATCTGTATCTTCTTCTGGCCTTGGTCCCTAGACCTGGCCCCAGCCTTTTCTCACTGCAGTCCACACAGGAGCTTATGATGTCCTTTCTGTAGTTTTCATGACCCTCACACCCATCTCACCCTGTTTCCTACCTGTTCATAGAAGGGCCCATTCTGCCCCACCACACTCAGCCCTTAGTGGCCCCCATTGAATGCAAGCTTGGGCAACGCCCAGGAGGCTTTTGTCCTGTAGGGACTCTGCAGCTGCCTCTCAGCAACTGCTCACCAGAAAGCTAATGGCTTCCTCTATCTGCAGCTATGGCTTCTGTTTCCAGAACATGAAAGTATTTTGGTCACCTTTCCTGAAAACTTCCTCTGCCTCACCTGCCTACTGTTCCCTCACCTGGACCACCTCAGCATTAGAGGCTCTGTGGTCCCCAGGCTTCCTCCTTGTAACTCTTTGTGTCATGTGCTACCCACCAGAGGGACCAATGTCCTTCTCACTTTGCTGTCCTTAGATTTCAGCACCCTAGGCAGGTAACTGCAGCCTGTAAGCCTTTCTGTGGAGTTGCAGCCGGAATAGAGGGTGCACATTCTGGAGGAGGCTGGGAGTCCCCTGCCACCAGGGCTCAGCTGGCTCTGTGTCTATTCTTGACAGAGTTCACCAGAATAACCTCTGACCTCATCGTGGTCCCCGGGCCCGGGGTCTATGTTACACTGCTAGCCATAGCCTGAGCTGTCTTCCACTTGGCAGCTGGTTAGTTATCTTAGAGGATAGCCCCTCTCACATGAGGAGGGGCTGTGCATGGCTGTGAGAACAGATGCCACATACTCAGAGCAGGGAGGACAGACTGTGAAGGGGGCTGTGGTTAAGGTAGCTGTGGTGTGCAAGCCAAAGGGTGGATGCTTCTCTACTTCTGGTCCAACTCTGGGCGGGGTGTGTGTGTGGGGGTTATGTCGAATCTCAGCTCTGTCTGTTTATCTTGAGCAAGCTCATACTTCCTCTCCTCCTCAGGAGAGGTTACCAAGCACATTCGCCTACAGCGAAAGGCTATGTAACCTCCCCAGTCCCCTGCCCCTGCCCCTGCTCCTCTTGGAGCAGGGACACTTCTTTCCAGATGCCTCCCCTGCCACCTCACTAGGAAACCCACTCCTCTTCTAATGAACTTTTTGATGGATTTGGTGTTTCCTGGATGGTAAGGCCTGTGTCGTCATTGACTCATAATGGCCAGTAGGGGGCAGCATTGTGCTGAGATTTTCCTCAGCTAACGAGAGGAGGCTTGCTGGTCCCTCTAGGTGGTACGCCTCAGCCAGGTGGTCCTGCCAATTACTTTTGAGAATCAAAGTTAGCCTTCCTGCTCCAGGCCTGTGGTTTTCCATCTATTCCCCTCAGGTGCACCATCCAGGACCTGGACTTCTCAGGCTGAGTCTGGGCAGGACCCCATCCTCCACCACACAGCCACTTAGAGATGGGCAAGGGCCCAGCCAGTCACCATCTTCTTACAGCTAAGGGCACTAGGGGTTCCAGTTCTAGCCAGCTACCCATGGGACTTGCCCCCCCCATCTTCACACTTAACTCCACGCCATTGCTCCTGCTTTCTGGAAACTCTATGCCTGTGTTCCGTGTTCCCATGGTGCCTTGCAGCCTTAACATATATATGTTCATATGTTCAGAAAGACCTTTACTCCAGGGGTGGTCATACCATAGCCTAGTCCTGCACAGCACCTGACCTGAAGAAGGCTGGAGACAGAGACCTGTGGGCCTCGAGGGCTGCTGGACCCAGGCATGGGTGATATGTTTGGTGATTCAGGTGGAGTCCAGGTCACTCTGTCCAGGGACAGATGGTGCCTCGGGGAGACAGTAGAATGAGCTGAGGTTGTGTTCACCGCCCACACCAGCCAATTTGCATACTCATCCTCTGTGCTTCAAAGCCTTGTAATCCCTGCAGCTGCTGCATACCCACCTGGACCAGGCAGCTTGCTGCCACTGTGTCTGCTTTGACCTGGGTAGAGGCCAAGGCTTTCCCATCCGAGGGAGGCAGTTGCCTGAGACCATGCGGAGTAAAGAATTATAGTCCTTAGTTGTGGCTGTAGCTCTCCCCTGATGGCCCAGCTCTACAGCACAGGCACAGCTCTAATGCGGAGCCATGGGCAAGCCATGAGGAGGGATTGTGAGGTGTCACCTCATTACATATAACCTTGTGGGTGGTTTCCTTATCAGCCAACAGGGCTGGGAGCCCACCTGCAGAGCTGGTGCTGGTGGAACTAACACTGCACTAGCTGGACTGCTACACAGAGAGAGACACACACACACACAGACACACAGACACACAGACACACACACACACACACACACACACACACACACACACACACACAGCTAAGGATACTCAGGGCTGAAGAGCCGACACCTGGAGGGGGTATGAGGCATTCTCCTGCTGACCACAGAAATCACAGAATCCTGGGGGAGCCTTCCTACCCCCCCCATACATTGTGACTATACTTGTCTAATGGAGCCAGACCTTAAGCCCTCAAGTCTGTCTCTAATCACACTGCCTGGATCTTAGGGCTGATGGAGGCCATGGGAGCCCAGATTCCTGCCAAGTTAGGGTACTTTCATTCCTCCTTTCCCCCATCCTGATCCTGACTTCACTCATTATATACTCGTTGTCTTCTAGCTCACTTGGGGTTCCAGTAGCATCAGACTCCACCTGTGACTCCCTTTGGCAGGAGGAGATACCAGAAGCTAAAAAGGCAGGCTTGGTAACGCCCTGGACCACCCATAGCTGCGGTAAGGGCGAGCCTGCAGATAGGCCCTGGGATGGCTGG